GAGGCAAATTCCCTCAAATCTTGCTTGTCTATGAATTGTTCAATCCCTCCTTTATGTTTAAATGATAATTGTGCTGGATACAGTATCCTTGGTTCAAGGCCCTTTTATTTCATTGCATTAAATATATCATGCCATTCTCTTCTGGCCTGTAAGGTTTCTTTTGAGTAGTCTGATGGTAGCCTGATGTGTTTTCCTTTGTAGGTGACCTTTTTTCTCTCTCTGGCTGCCTTTTATAGTCTGTCCTTGTCTTTGATCTTTGCCATTTTAATTATTATGTGTCTTGGTGTTGTCCTCTTTGGGTCCCTTCTGTTGGTATTTCTGTGTGCTTCCATAGTCTGAGCAACTATTTCCTCTCCCAGTTTGGGGAAGTTCTCAGTAATTATTTCTTCAAAGATACTTTCTATCCCTTTTTCTCTCTCTTCTTCTAGTACCCCTATAATGCAGATATGGTTCCTTTTGGATTGGTCACATAGTTCTCTTAATATTGTTTCATTCCTGGAGATCCTTTTATCTCTCTCTGGTTCAGCTTCTATGCGTTCCTGTTCTCTGGTTTCTATTCCATCAAGGGCCTCTTGCATCTTATGCATTCTGCTTATAAATCCTTCCAGAGATTGTTTCATTTCTGTAATCTCCCTTCGGATGTCATCCCTTAACTGTTATATATTTCTCTGCAGCTCTGTCAGCATGTTTATGATTTTTATTTTGAAATCTTTTTCAGGGAAACTGAGGATCTCCAGATCCTCTGTTAGGTGTTGTCTGAAATATTTTGGACTGGATCAAATTTCTTTGCCTTTTCATGGTGATAGCGGTGGTTGTAGGCAGGTTGCGGGCGAGTCAGCTGGGAGAACAAAGTACTTTCTGTTTGCTGAATGCCTTGCTCTTCTCCACTGCCTGTGTCAGTTACCTGCACTCCTGGAGCAGCCACTGGGTTAACCCCCTAAGCTGTTGTGGGTTTCCATCAGAGCAGAGCGGAGCTCTGTGGGATGTGGCAGGCATGCCAGGTGTGCTCCTCCGCAATAGCGGCACCCCTGCCGGGCCTTGGGTCTGGCCTGGGCAGCTGTGCGTCGGGCTGGTATTCTGGTTGACTGCTGGGAGCACAGCTGCTCCCCCTGGCACCACTGTAGGTGCACGGAGGCCTCTCCTGCACGGAACTCTCCCAGTCTCCTCTGGCGCCACTGCTGCCAGTGCGTGCCAGCCATTTCCGGGCTGTTCGGTCACTGCCGCAGCGGGCTCGCACGAGCCGCTCCTGTTCCCCTCTGGCTTCACTGGTGCATGTGGGCCGCTCCCGGTCCCTTCCGCTCCCTTCTGGTCCTCCTGCCCCCGGCGCGTGCTGTCACTGTCCCACTACTGGGCTGGTGTGTCGGAATCTGCGCCAGTTGGGGGAACGACTGACAGGCTGCTTAGTGCCATGAGGGGCTTCAGAACTGCACTGCCGCCCAGGGGTTTAGGGCGCCTAATATTATCTGGGATTCCCAGCTGCTGGCTAAGTGTGCTGGGATGACTTCGTCCAGCTGTGGGGTCCCTGTCTCTTTAAGACTTGCTAAAAGCACTCGCTTTTCTTTTGTCTCAGGGGCGCCGCTTGCAGGCACGTGCCTGGAAGTTTTGCTTTTCTGTTTCTCTAATATCCTGCACCCCATGCACTTTGTGTCTGCGTTCCGGGTGCGGATTTCTAGAACTGGTTCTTTAGCATCCTGGGCTTTCACTCCCTCCCCGTTCCAACTCTTTTCTTACCACTGGGTTCTGGGGTGGGGGAGTGTTCAGGTCCTGCCTGGCCGCGGCTTGTATCTTACCCCCCTTCTTGTGATGTTGAGTTCTCACAGATGTAGATGTATCCTGGTTGTTGTACTGCATCCAGTGGTGTCTCTTTTAGGAATAGTTGTATTTATTGTATTTTAACAAGTATATATATGTTTTGGGGAGGAGATTTCCACCGAACTACTCATGCCGCCATATTCCCATGGTTTGTTTACTTCAGTTTTGAGTTGTTTGAAACTTCACTTGACTGGCCGGCCTTGGGCTTCTTCTTTCAGTTAATTTACCCAGATATTGTGAATAATATGCATCATTGTGGTAGTCATAGAGGAGGGATAGAAAACTAGTGGAAGATGGGTGAGGAGAAACCCTTTCTTGTAAGAAAGGTAATCTAGGGGAGGTATTCTGGTGAAGAATGACAAAGTGATGATATTGCTTTCCATCCTTGTCTCATTTTCTTTAATGTCTCTGTGGAAGTAGCAGTTGCAAAATATGCAAAAGGAATTAGTTATCTGTCCTTGCTGTAAGGACTTCCATAGTATTTTTAGGAATTTACAGATTATTTTTCCATTTTCCTGCCTTACAGCTCATGTGTGAACTGGGGAATGATGTCATAAATCGAGTTTATGAAGCTAAAGTGGAAAAAATGGGAATAAAGAAACCACAACCAGGACAAAGGTACTATTTCAGTTGTTTTAATAGGTGTTTTTTCTTTTTTTCCTGATCAGGAATATAGCTGTGATTTTATTTCACTGTTATTGATATGTAAATAAAGGCACTTCAGAAGACATCATCACTGCTTCTATTAAAATGCAACTATCTCTTTCCTTGGGTATGTTAATTAAATAACTATATTTTATCAGTCAGATAATCAGTTATAGTCTCCAGATGAGAAAGAACCTTAAAAATCAAGGCTCTCCATAGGAATATAAAAGCTCTTAGCATTTAAAGTAGGCCAGAGATAATCTATTCATTAATGTCTTCAAGGGTCAGGTTTCTACTACCTACAATGAATAATTTTACTTTGTTTGACTTAGTTCAGCAAATATTTGTTAATCATGTACTTCGTACATAGCATTATGATGTTTAAGACTGAAGGTGAAAAGACTAGCTTCTTATATGCATGAGTATTTGAAATTATGCTTCTAATTCTATACATTGAATGAAGTGGCTAAGAGTGCCTTCAAGGTACATAATTTTTGTTGTTGATATTCTTTTTAGTTTTTATGATTCTTTATTTGTAGCATTAAAATTTTATTTGCCATAATCCTGTGTTGGGATTTTGTTTAATTAAATCTTTATGTATAATTGTAGTATTTTAAAGTTGTTCTCTTTACCAATATCTCCTAAGTGTGATTATTTATTTGCTAAGGCATGGCTGTTTGAGTTTTTCAGCCCTTGAAATTCTTTCTCTTTAAGCCAGAGACTTAAGCATTTTAAAAGGATATCACCAGTAAGAAAAGGTATAAAACAGACTTGGCATTTTATGATTGTATCATAAATGGAAAGTTTAAAAGTGACATTTTTTTCCCCCTTAAGTTAGAAATGCTATGTTGTTTTAATGTAGTTGTCTTATGAAAAATTATGGCCATCAGTAGTGATAGTTCAGGATGTAATATTATTTATTGTAGTAAAAATGATATTAAAGTTAATTACTATAAACTTTTATAGTTTTCTTAGTACTGTTTTCATTCTATAAAGAGTATTAGATAGTATGTATAGAAATGAATGAGTGCAGAAATTAAGAGAATAAGAGAGTGCCATGTTAACGCTTGTGATTTTTCAGTTAGTTTGTTATGTATTTCATTTGAATATGAAATCATAGTTCACTAAATATTTGGAAGGAAAACATGTTGCATGTCAGAAATTTATTTTTAACTGGTATTACATTTTAGCGACTTTCTTTGAAATATTCAATGTATGATGGCTTCTTTGCAGTATTAGCCATGCTAAGAGATTAAACAGAACATCATGACATTTTTATGTATACCAGACAGGAGAAAGAGGCATATATCAGAGCAAAATATGTGGAAAGGAAATTTGTGGATAAGTACTCCATATCATCATCACCTCCTGAACAGGAAAAAAGGATTGTCTCCAAAAGTTGTGAAGAAAAGAGGCTGAGCATTTCTAAACTTGGGCCAGGTGACCAATTCAGAGCATCTCCCCAATGTTCAGGTATTACAGCTTGCTTGTTATGTATATAAATATTTCCTTAAGCTGAAGTCACTTTCTTAGTCTCTGAATTCATTGCCATTTAGATTTTGTAAATGTTAAAAATCGATTTCTTTCTACATATTCTAAGGACAGATTGGACTTCTATGTCTTTAAAACAGTTAAATTTGAATAGTGTCTTAGTAGTTCACAGTTCTGCTTAATATGCAACGGGAGATGGGAATTATAAGTATCACAGCAAAAAGCCCTAACTCTAAGTATCTGAATAACCACCTAATATCCTTCCTATATTTTTCCTCCTAAATTTTTCCCAATAACGTTTTTTCCTGCCCTTTTCCCTCCTTATGGCCTGCTTTGTGCTTTGCTAACTTGCATGTCCCCAGTGGTTGCTGTAAATAGCGAGGAGGCCAGGCGGGAGTCTCTGTTCTGTCCTGATGAGCTAGATTCACTCTTCTCCTACTTTGATACTTCTTCAAAACTACGTAGTAGTAAGTACTACTCTTGTGGAGCATTCCAAGTCTGTGCCAGTGGTCATTGTGCGGTGTGGCCATTTCTCTAGATGTAACCCATTGTCTCAGAATTACACATTACTTAAAATCATACAATAATTAAGCTCTTTACTACCCCTGTTGTATTATGGGGTAATGAGATGTTACAACTTTGAAAATAAATTTATTTTCAGGCTTTGTGATTGATTCATATCTTGATAAGCTAAGTGTTGAAAAGAATTAAAACTGTATTAAATGTACTCTGTACGTTGACGTATCAGAGATCATTTAAAAATCTCATTGTTAGTGGGAGATTGTTAATGGCATGAACTTTAATCACTAGCTGATTCTTCTTTGTAACAGTCAAAAGTAACGACAGTGGAATCCAGCAGAGCTCTGATGATGGAAAAGAATCTTTACCTTCCACAGTGTCAGCTAATAGTTTATATGAGCCTGGTGAGTTTTGGTGAAATCCAATATTAATTGGTATTGTTTGCTGAAAAATGCATTTGATAGCTGCCTAGTCTTGATTAGATAGTTTCTAAAGGAAATGTTTAGTCTTTTAGAAGGTACTAAGGGAAGAGTAATGCTGTTAAGTGAGAAAGCAGCTATTTCTTTTCATATTTGGAAGTTCTCTCCTAGTTGTACATTCTTCTAAGCCTCATGATATATGCTAAAAGTACCTTGTCAACAGCTAAGGATAATTTTTAATTGACATGAAGGAGCTAAGGATAATTTTTAATTGACATGAACTGTATGTCTTATTACTTGTAGTCTTTTTTGTAGCTACCTTTTCTTATTAGAAGAAAGTGATGCAACTCCTCCCCATTATGTTTTTCTTACATCCTCTTATATTCTCTCGTTCATGCTTTCAGTGATTCTGGTCTTTCAGAATCCTCAGGGTAGTAAGCATTCTTTGAATTATCCATATTGCTTGTACTGCAAATTGTGATGTATTGGACCATCCTAGCAGTAAAGTGAAGTTTGTTGTTTTAGTAAAATTCTTAAGGAATTCTGTCTCCTCTGAGTCCTTAAGTCCAGGCTCAGAGGAATATACCTAATTTTAGTCTAATACACAGTAATTAGCCTACCAATTAGATACTGACAAGATCACAAAGGCCTAGCATAACAATCAATGTTATTATAAGAAGCAGTTTGACTGTTTGGAGAGTGATCAGTCTTTTGGAAATAAAATATCTTTGTGAAATTCTCCCATTAGCTCATTTTGTTAAATTAGTGGTTTCTTATGTCAAAACTTTGACATTATGGTACTCTTAAGAGTTCTTTTAAAAAAAAACTGTGTTAAGATACACATAACAGAATTTACCATCCTAACCATTTTTAAGGTACATTTCAGTGGTATTAAGTCTGTTCACTTTGTTCATTGTTGTCTTATCACTACTATCCATTCACAGAACTCTTTTCGTCTTAAAAAACTGAAACTCTGTTCCTACGAAACAGTAACTTCCCATTCTTCCTCTCCCCACCCAGAACTCATTTTTATTGATGTAATTTTGTTTGCTTTTCAGAGGGAGAAAGGCAAGATTCTTCTGTGTTTCTGGACTCTAAACATCTTAATCCAGGACTCCAGCTTTATAGGGCTTCATATGAAAAAAATCTTCCTAAAATGGCTGAGGCTTTGGCTCATGGTGCAGATGTGAACTGGGCTAATGCAGAGGAAAACAAAGCAACACCACTTATTCAGGCTGTATTAGGGGTATGAATTTGTACATTGAGGTTTTCAGGGGTAGTAACACTTAAAAAAAATCATAATTCATTTTTAACACAGCATTGATGTTGCTTTTTGCTTTAAAAAGAGTTGGGTAGAAAATAGAAGCTAATAGTGATTTCTGAGCATCACTTTGTGCAAGCTCAATGTTTTTTCTTAATGGAAGAGAATTCTGATAATGAAGGTATTGTGTTTTACTAGATCACAGACTACAAATTGAATTCCTATTAGAAATGATTCTTGGAAATGCAATAATGTATCATTTCTCTGTTTTTGCTGGGTAGTATTTTCTCTTTCAGAGAGAATGAAATAGAAAGACTATTAGAGAAAAGAAAATACTCTGTTTTTAATAGAAATATATATATAGTCATTTGCTTTTTGTACATTGTTATCTTTTTTTTCTTCCTCTAAGGGCTCTTTGGTGACGTGTGAGTTTCTCCTGCAGAATGGTGCTAATGTGAACCAAAGAGATGTACAAGGGCGGGGACCACTGCACCATGCTACAGTCTTAGGGCACACAGGGTAAACTATAGTGCTTACTTTAGTAGATTTAATTTGAAAATTTATTTTAAAATAATGTTTTGCTTTTTCTTAGGGTAAGGCCAGTAGGTAGAGTTTGTAAATTGATACTTTCCTATGACTTATATTGTCATGATGGAATTTGAAGTTTTAAAAATCTCATTGAGGAAAATATGACTGTTACTTTTCAGATAAGAAAATTGCAAAGCTTACTTTGAAGTTCACTTTTCATTTATATAGACAAGTTTTAGTGTTTAAAACTTATTAAGATTGTGGTGGTTTTATCATACAATTTAAGTCTGTGTGTGTAGTTATGCATGTAAACATACATTATGTACATAGCACACATTTTGGGAGAATTTTGTAATTTTGGACTTTTTTTTTAGTTTTCCCACAGGGTAGCTAAAGTCAAATTCTGTAGTAAATTCTTAGTCTGTGCTATTGATATTGTGGCTTCTGGATCAATATTTAGACTCATAACAATAAGGCCATGAAAATGGGCTTTTTATTAGAGGGTACACATGAAGGAAAAATGTTGTTCTTACATGAAATGTTTGTGTTATAGGTGATTGTTTTATAATAAAATATCTCAGGATATCCAGTTCTTATTACTTTGACAAGCAAGAAGCTGTTCTTATTTTTATTTATAGCATATTCTATTTTTATCATAGCTTGTGGTCTTTCCCTCTGTCAGCAATAACTTGATAAAAACTTCCCTATATTTAAAAGTGCTGGTATTTAACTTATCCCTTTGTATTTTCTTCCTGAACAGTGAATAATTGTCCACATTTTACATCATAGACTCCCATGATTCATTCTTAAATATTTTTTCATTTTATTTAAAAGTGCTGGTATTTAACTTATCCCTTTGTATTTTCTTCCTGAACAGTGAATAATTGTCCACATTTTACATCATAGACTCCCATGATTCATTCTTAAATATTTTTTCATTTTTGTCAATTTCTTCAAGTTATGAATATTTGTATAGTACACCAAGAGGGTTACTTTCCACTCTTTGCTATTGTATTTTCATGAATATATTGTTAACATTGCCTTGGCTTCTCCGTCTTTCCCAGATCATCACCTTGAATGATTTTTGTTTAATTTTATAGATATATGTGTACATCTTTCTATGATACTGTGGTAGGTTAGGTACCATAATTTATACATCTCACTGTGCCATATAACTCTAGGTTAAATAAATACTTCGAGATTCATAAAATCAAGGTCATGGTAAATTTTTACTAGAGTCAGTGTTCAAAAAATATTTGTAAAATGAATAAAAAATATCCTAATGAAAATGTTATTTCTTTAAGTTAGTGATTTTTATTTTTTAAGGTGAATACTAATGTTTTTTCTTATAGGCAGTATTTCAAAAATGCTATTTCCTTAAACAGGCAGGTGTGTTTATTCCTAAAACGAGGTGCCAATCAACATGCCACTGATGAGGAAGGGAAAGACCCTTTGAGTATAGCTGTGGAAGCAGCCAATGCTGATATAGTGACCTTGTAAGTATTTTCTTTTTACTTGATTATTTCCTTTATAATATATTGTAGTGTTTTAACATAGAGTTTCATGTGTAGGTATGAACTTTACACTTGGTTGGCTGTTTACTATATACTGTGTTCTTCTCTAAGTACGTCAGATATATTCAGCGCTTTGCAAACATGAACTTACTTGGTTCTCACCACAACTTTATGAGGAAGGTATTATGATTAACCTCATTTTTTAAGTAATGAAGCCAAGCCACAAACAATTTGATAAACTGTAAGTGGTGGAATTGGAATTTGAAACCAACAGTTCTGGCTCCAAAACATATTCTTGGCTACTTCTGTTATACTTTCTGACCAGTAGGAACAGAAAACAAATGACTTGTCTAAAATGAATTCTTTAACTTTTAGTACAGAACTGGGGCAGGGATTGAATTGGTAAAAGTAACAGGCAGCTATTGTACCTCCAGAATCAGAGGGTTGTAAGAAGAGAGGATAGCTGCATTGATGTTAATGACTTTTGCAGTTGTATTGTCTTTGGACGATGATACGTAGGGATCTGTTTGTGCTTATTTTTTGAAAGAATTATTCACATGAAAGAATATCTTATTCACAAAAAGAATAAAATACCTGGGAGCAAATTTAACATTGATGAAAGAAATTGAAGATGGTACAAATAAAGGGAAAGACATTCACTGTTCATGAATTGGAAGAATTAACATTATTAAAATGTCCATACTATACTCAGAGCAATCTTTTGAGTCAGTGCAGTCCCTGTCAAAATACCAATGGCATTTTTCACAGAACTAGAACAAATAACCCTAAAATTTGTATGGCACCACGAAGACCCTCAAATAGCCAAAGCAGAGCAGGGGGTATTACACTGCCTGAATTCAAACTATACTCCAAAGCTATAATAATCAAAACAGTATATGGTATTACCACAAAAATAGACATGGATCAATGCAGTAGAACAGGGAGCTCAGAAATGAGCCCATGCTTATATGGTCAAATAATCTCTGACAAGGAGGTAAGAATATACAATGGGTAAAAGATAGTTGTTTCTTCAATAAATAGTATTAGGAAAACTGGACAGCTACATGCAAAAGAATGAAAGTGGACCACTGTCTTATACCATACACAAAAATAAACTCCAAGTGGATTAAAGACCTAAATGTAAAACCTGAAACCATAAAACTTCTAAAAGAAAACTTAGGCAGTAAACTCTTGAACATTTGCCTTCTCTATTTCTGGATTTATCTTCCTAGGCAAGGGAAACAAAAGCAAAAATAAAGAAATGGGACTTTGTCAAATGAAAAGACTTTTTTTTGCACAATGAAAGAAACCATTGACAAAACGGAAAGGCAACCTACTGTTTGGGAGAATATATTTGTAAATGATATATACAATAAGGGTTTATAGCCAAAATATAAAAAAATTCATACAACTGAATACAAAAACACCAAATAATCTGATTTAAAAATGTGCCAAAGACTTGAATAGACATTTTTCCAAAGAGGACAAACAGATGGCCAACAGATACATGAAAAATGCTCTCAAGATTACTAATCAGCAGGGAAATACAAATCAGAATCACAAAGAGATATCTCCTCACACCTGTCAGAATGGCTATTATCAAAGGGAAAAGAAATAACAAGTGTTGGCAAGGATGTGGAGAAAAGGGAATCCCTGTGCATTGTTGGTAGGAATGTGAATTGGTGCAGCACTGTGGAAAGCAGTATGAAGGTTCCTCAGAAAATTTAAAGTAGAAATACCATATGATCCAGCAATTCCACTTTTGAGTATTAATCCTAAGAAAATGAAAATACTAACTTGAAAAAATACATGTACCCCTGTGTGTATTGCAGCATTATTTACAATAGTCAAGACATGGAAGCAACGTGAGTGTCAATTGATAGTTGAATGAATAAAGGAGATACAATATGAAAATACATGCAATGAACTATTACTGAGCCATAACAAATAATGAAATCTTGCCATTTGCAACAACGTGGATGGACCTAGAGGATGTTATGCTAAATGAAATAAGTCAGAGAGAAATACAAATACTGTATGATTTTAGTTATATGTGGAATCTAAAACAAATTAAAAAAACAAACTTATAAAACAGAACAAACTGGTGATTGACAATAGGGGAGGGACATGGAGAGGATGGGTGAAATAGGTGAGGGGGTAAAAAAAGGTGCATACTTCCAATTATGAATCATGGGGATGAAAAGTACAGCATAGGGAATATAGTCAGTAATATTGTGATAACTTTATATGGTGACAGACTGTAACTACACTTACCGTGGTGAGCATTTAGTACTGTATATAATTGACAAATCACTATGCTGTACACCTGAAACTAATATATTTTATATCAACTATATTTGAATAAAAAATAAAATTGTTTAATAAAGAATTGTTCACATGAATACTCTTTTTAAGATAGAAATACTTGGTTTTGAGTGTTATATGATCTGTTAAAAAGAATTTTGAGGTCTTAATTTGATTTTGGTTCTGCATCAAAGTTGTTTGTTACTCTTGGGATCTAGAAATGTGATTGTCACCTATACTTCATTGTTATGAAAAAGAAAACTCAAGCACATGTCATACAAAGTCAGTCATTCTGTTCTGGGCTGAATGAAGCCCAAACCTCAGCCCAGAACGTTCCTTTGCTATATGAGTAGATAGTTCTCAATCACTTACACTTGCAATCACTTACAAAAAGAAACTCCCTAGAAAAATACCTGAAAATTCTTGACTTGCAATATATCATCCCTCCCTGACCCATGCCAAATTCAGAACAAAACAGCCAAACATACGTTTTCTGAACTCAGTGTCCCTTCCCCACTGTGGGGAACAGGGGAGTATTGTTTTTGTGCAAGCTATTGTAGGAAATTTAGAACCATTAAATCATTATAGATTTACAGTTGGAGAAAGATAGGTTATTAAAGAAAAGGTAGGAATAGTAGAGAGAATTGAACCCTGGATGCAGCTTTCCAGGCAATTCTTAAAGTAATGGCCCTCTTCTTCCAAATTATCTGTTCCCAAATTGTCTAATTTTTCTCATTTTACTTTATGTGAAGTCTTTAGTTTCACTTAATAATTTTCGAAAATAGGTGTCCTCTTTGAGAAGTCCAAATACCAAAGGGAGGCCTCAGGTGCTGTTAAGTTGCGCAGTGGTTGAGAAAGAAGAGATGGAAGGAAATTGTGGTTCCTTCAAAAGGAGTTTAGAAGACAATAAAAGCCCATGTCAAATGCTGCAGTTGCCAGAGGTTGTTAGAAGAGAATGGTATAGGTCTGGGAAGGCAGTATTTGGTTGCCTGGAGGGCAGGCGAATAGTACAAAGTAGAAGCTGGGCACCAAGGGCAACATCTGCCCATTTCAAAGTGTCACTTAAAGTTAGTAAGAAAATGGAAATACTTGTCTTCTTAATCTAATGATACATGTCTTCCTACTGCCAGGACGAATAACCCAAAAAGAAATGTATAGCCAGTATAGTAACCTTGGGAAAATCTTGATAACCTGTTATCATTTATTACAGTGTTTGCATATCTAAATACATTCCAAGTATTTAGAGTTAACACTATTTTTATGTCTGGAACTACCTCATCTCTGGGTAAACAGGATGAACTGATGACATACTGTACATTATGACATCTCACACTGTAGAAGCAGTAATTACAGCAGTTGACAGTTAAAATTTGACAGGTTGCTGCCAGGGATTCTTTGGAGTCTGGAGGAAGCAAGCTGCTGGAGGTGCTGCAAGGATGCTGCTTAACAGAGCTGAAATGCACTTGTTAGAAATCTTTTATTGCCTTTTCTCATGAGAATTATATAAAGTAATTGTATACAGTTATTTTTCTATCTCAGATTGCTGGGTCTGATAAACTAGAAGCCCATTTATTTTAGTAGTAAATACTGGTAAAAGAAAAATATTACATCGGTACATGTTTTACCTGCATATATAATTCATTAGTTTATGAATATTTATCTTGTATAACTTCATCTAAAAATCTTTTTATTTAACTTTAGGTTACGTTTAGCAAGAATGAATGAAGAGATGCGGGAATCAGAAGGACTTTATGGACAGCCAGGTCAATATTCTACTAATAACCATACTGAAATGCAGTATAAGAAATGCATTCAGGAATTTATCAGTTTACAATTGGAAGATTCATAGTTCTCTAGCAAACTATCTTAATATAACAGAGTTTTTATAACTTGTAAATTGTTAGGTATATACTGTACTTGAGGAATTCTTGGGGGTGACTAATTCCCAGGTCTTTAAAAATCCATAACTATTCCTTTTACAGTACATGTTTACTTGCTGTATTTAACTCTGGCTGCTAATTTCTTTATCTGCTGTACAGATGTCTTCCATATACATTCCAGTGAAGTTAATGGAATGATAAAGTATCTTTATACACTCACAGCAGCACAACAGTTATTTTCTTTTTGGAGTTCTCTTTAGCTGTTAAGTGAATATTACAAAATTGTTTTCTTTTTGTTATTCAGGGAATTTCTATAAATTGTGTTCAGGAAAAAAACAAAACATGTGTTTGGCATATGAAAAAACAAAACGTGTTTGGCATATGAAAAGTCAATATAAAAAGTCAAAATATCTAGAAAATTTTATTGAATGTAGAGTTTTGTACTCCAACCTAAAAATGAGTTGAACGTTTAGAAATAAAATTTACTGGTAGGTTAAGAAGTCCATAATAGGAATAGAGTTAGTTTAAAAGGTATAGGGAAAATATCTCATTTTTTCTTGTAGCTTGGCCTCAAGCAATTATACAATATTTGTTGGATAAATGGAAGTATTTAGAACAATATTTCATGAACCTGATGGCAAAGTAGACTTACTATCAGAGAAATCTCAGCTCAGGATCAGCTCAAGTCTCATTTTGGGTAATTTTTACCTTTGAGTCACAATGTCAAGAAAACGAAGAAATGTTGATCAGATTCCTTTCTTTGATAAACACATCCTAATTAGACATTGTTCACAAAGAGGAGAGTAATAATTGGATCTCCATGTTTAAGTGAATTTGAGTATATTAATTACTAGTTTATCTCTTAAATTCATATACATATTAGTAAAAAGTTTCAGGAATTCATGACTAAAATAATTGAGAATATTCAGTTTTCAATGAGCATATTTGATTTTTTCCAGTGGAATATCCCTATATATTTTTAAAGTGACTTGACAATATCATCTATTCATCTGTTTAAATATATGTTGAAATTTCTGTACTTTATCCTAGCTTCAGCCATTTACTTCTATTTTAACCAGATTAATATATAATTAATATAAATATGGGCCATTCTTTTCTCAGAGGACTGCATTTACTGCTTACTTTTGGTCTAAAAGAGAACAAATGAGAACTTTGAGAATAGAGGCACTTCAGCTAGATACTTCTAATCTAGGGTGTTCCACTTTAATCCTATGGATCAAACAATAATACTACTGACTCATGGTAGACCAAGATGTAAGAGTGCTGATTAAGGGTGACGTCTCAGCATTAATTCTGAATTTCATCCATTTGTTTTAAACTTGAATGTTAGATTTTAAATAAATTATAATTTTGTAACAGATATACCTAAGTGATAGTATTACTAGGCCATTTTTGAGGCCTTGTGTTTAAGCACTTTAAAAATTATTCAAAGAATATGACCTGATATTTGTGAAATAAGAGTGAACTTTAAGATTTTAAGCTAAACAATTTTTTTTCCTGAAATTTTAAACTTAAATTTTGGTCAGCTGCTCTTTCTTTAAGCTGTTGCTAATGCAGTTATATCCAACTGATTAGTCAGAAGGTCAGTGGTCAACTTTTCTCTGGAGTTGGGAAGCTTGAAAGGACAGGGTCTCTATGTTTTTGCAATTTATTGTTCTACCCAAATTGCATGGGCTTCTGTTGCCACCATTTAAGAGCATTCAAAGTCTCTTTCATTGTCATCTTATATATAAGTTTATGAGTATATACCTTTATCAGTAGAAAAATGGATTTTTCTAATTTATTTGATGAAAATTTGAAAAAAAGTCCTCATTATAAAAAACAAACTTTTCTTCTATTCTCAAATTTTGGTTCAGAGGTTAAAAATAGAAATCTGAAAATGGGGTATCAGCAGAATAAAGTGAGATTTTGATCTGTTTGGGGATCATCTTGATAATAATTAGATTGTTAACTCATTTAGAGGGTCTCATGTTTAAGGCAGAACAATCTTAATACAGGTGACATGGTGAAATGGCACAGCAGTTGCTCTCTGGCTAACTTTTCCTTTGTGAGTTATTGGAGAACAGACACATTTATTCAGGCAGTAGGTCTTTCTTTCTCCTCTGCTTATCAGCATAAACTTTTCTCTCATAGATTTTGATTGTCTTATCTAGATCCTCTTTTTGTTGCCTAGCAATAGAAAGAAAACCTCAGAATTCTGTGTAATTGTTAAATGCAGGTATTTTCAATCTTTGGATAAGGAAGATCCCTACATTTAAAAGACTCAGATATAATCTTTGGGAATCATGGGCCTATTTCTAGGAATTCCCACTTCTGAACTTTTATCTATAACCTTAAGGAACCTGAGACTCCCTGTTTTTTTGCAATGTGATATAAGAGCACACATTTCCTGAAGGGAAGAAATACCCTTCTATTATCAATTCTTAGGAGATCTGGATGGGTGAGTGAAGTATTATGCCCTGCTCTCAGTTGTTAGAAACCAATTTGGTGGGTCTCAGAGTCTCTGACTCTAACTACTCTTGATTGTTAGCAAGAATTTCTCAGTCAGTTGAAAAATCACTGCTTTAGTGAACCACTACTGGTTATGTATGTTGCTAGTAAAATTGATCACTGATCTAGTCAGTTATAAAAAGATAGCTGTAATCAACTCAGAAGGGGCAGGATCGAATACTTGAGCACCTGGAGGTTGGGTCTCACATGCTACCATCTCTTTGCAGCAAAATCAACAAAATATTGGATCATCATAACTGTTGTTACAATGAGTATCCTGAATACCAAAAATCAAAAACTATTTTAAGCTATCAGTGAAAATACAGTGCTTCACATTTTAAAAACTCCCAACTGTCCAGGCACATTAGAAAAATTACCTTTCTGAAGAGAAATAGAATGTGATTAAGTAATTTAAAGGATAAAGCTTAGTATTACAAGTCTAGGGTGGTTTGTTGTTTACCATTTATAACAAACTGTTAAATGTAGTTTTATGAACTTGCCAGGGCAACATATTCTTTGTTATTGTTTATGTATTCTAGTGTAAACAAGTTACATTTGCCTTGGGAAAAATTCTAAATGATTAAAATTATATTTAAATTTTAAAGAATCACATTGAAGTTCAATTTGTGTTAACCGTATTAAATATCTTAGTCACTATTGTTGTAATGTTTGCTTTTCGACAATACATTTTGAGGCCTAAGAAAGGTATTCATTAATAATCCATTAATGTTTTGTTAGAAACTGAATGTTAACAAAGTTTTGTGTGTATGTAAATGTAAAACTTCCTTTTGTATTAATCTTTTTAATGTATTCAGTAAGTGAAACCAATGATTAATGTGGTACCAACACTTTCCTTCAAGGAAACATTTAATTCAGTGAATAAAACATAATTTGTTTTGCATGGTACAATGGTTGTACTAAAACGTACTTGTATAATAGGTACTAAATGATTTAAAAACAAAAACTGGAAAACCACAAAAAAGAAAAAATAACTCACAGCTTGTTATACAAAATATGCATTGCTAATAGTAAAAGCCATATATTGCCATTGTACTGTTGTAATACTTAACGCTCATCTGGTGCTATCTGTAAACTATTTGGCATTAGCATCTGCTAAATCCTTCTTCCTATTCCTTCTTGAATGTATAATGTGTGCCTTTTAAGTTATTTCTGGTGTTGAATGGTAAAATTGGTGTGGTATTTTTGTATTATAATCTGCACTTTATACTTACTTGGAAAGTAAAATTCCAGACTCCAGTTTAAATAGTATTTTAAAAATATTTATAAATGTTTACAATAAATATTTTAAATATTTTAATTCAACATCCAAGAATAAGAACAATTTTAAAATATTTTGTATGGTTTGTTAATTGATATTTAATGTTGGTCTCTTCTCAGTTTATATCTTTTAGAAATGGCTAAAAATGGGAATAGATTGTAGTTTATCTTTTAATGTGGGAGTAAACTTTTAGAAAATCATGGGTATAATTGGATTGTCTTATCAGTTGTTCCAGCATATCTGCCTTTATTTTTATTGTTTTAGTAACAGTAATATGAGTTGGATGTTACTCTTATCCAACCTATTAAGATTTTCTTCTTACTGTATTTTTCCTTTTTAAAGTAGATTGATTCAGGTCATGAGAAGATTTCCAGGGCTAAATGAAAACTATATAGAGAGTTTAATAACTTGCTTTTTACATAGACTAATATTAAAAGTATTAAAATTTTTTATTGAAAATCTTGGGTTATGCTATTAGACCTTTTTACTAGACCTTTATCCCCCTTCCCCAACTTTATTCTAATTCTCTAGCTTTTGGTGTGACATCTGTTGCCTCAAAAATCTTGCATTTTAAAAGCTGATAAAACTTACTGCACTATTAACAACTGTAGCAATGAGTTTATAAGAAGATGGATGCAAGGTATCATAGGGGGAATAATTATAAAACCATGTTGCAACAATCATCATCTAAAACCTTATTTGTCTGACTCTTAAAAACAGAACTATGCCAGGCATCTGTATTAAGCCAATGTTTAACAGGAAGCATTCATGAATGGTTCATCTTAAAAATAAGATTTACCTTATATAAATCCTTTGAAGAATTAATCTGTGTGTGTATATAATTACTTTCCCATGGCAAGAAAATAGTATTCAGTCTGCTCAAGTATCAATATCTATAATATACTTCTCTACAAGCATATTTGTACATATATATGTATGTGTATTGCTTCAATTTAACAGGTGTCTTTAATATTCCCCTTTTCTCATAGCATTCTTACTCATGTTGTACAGTGAACAGCAAATGTTTGACTAAATGTGAAACTATGATTTTATAATCATTTTCCAGGCTTTATTAAGTTTAGTAGGCAGTAGGTTAGGACATTAGTTTTAGTTAAGCATTAAAGTTTGCGTAAATAATTTTTCCTATTCTATTTAAATTAAAATGCCTTTTAATTAAAAAATAATATTAAAATAGGCTTTTTTCTCAACTGATAATCAGTTTTGTTAATAACTTGCATCCATCAGAAACATTAATATTTGTTTTTGGTCTTTTCTTTTGGCCTTGATCAAGGGAAATACTTATTTAAAGAATGCCTTGTTTACCTCATTTAGAATAACTTTTATTTCTCATGTGCTAATAAATGTGTTTCTTTACATTGCTTTTAAGCACTTGAATCTTTGCTCTTTTCTAACTGAACTTTCCTCTGTGGCTGCATCTGAGGTACTTTTTTCAGGTATAGTTTTTTTTTTCTTTCACTGTACACTTTTCCAGCATTTATAGTTAGCCTTTTTTCTTACAAAAATGTTCACTTGAACAAAATTTTAACATGTGAATTATAAAATAGTTACTAGTCATAAAAATGAATAGTGTTTATTAATACTTTCATTGTCTAAATTTTAAAAGTGTCCTTATTTTACTTCGTGCAGGTGATGAAACTTACCAGGACATTTTTCGTGATTTTTCCCAAATGGCATCCAATAATCCAGAGAAACTAAATCGTTTCCAGCAAGATTCACAGAAATATTGAATTTTTTTAAGAAGGGGAAAATACTAAATTTGTCGGCTCTCCCAACCCCAATGTGTACATCTGAAGACTCACAAATTTTTACTGCTTTAATCCTACTTAAATTTAGTAGTTATTGAGTGGTTTGGGGGAAAAAGTACCCATTTATTGGTGTTTTTATATAAATTCAAACATAGATCTCTACTAGTTGGGAGAGGAACTTATTTTAGGACCTCTTTTATTAAAAAAAAAAAAAAACCAAAAAACAAAAGCCTGTTTTAAAGAACTATTTTTATAAGTAAAATAGACAGGTTTCAAGATGCTAAGAGCCTAGACAAAATCTCCTTTTTTTGCCAGTGGGTGGTATCACTGATTTTTCTATGAATCATTCAGGATTATTCAGTCAAGCATGTTCACATCAAGTGGGAGCTGACTGTCCTGCCTGCCTGGGGAATATGTCTTTAGCTTCCTTCATGATTTTTGGTGTTTCAGAAATAGTTTTTTTTGTTTTTGGTAGCGTAGCTATCTTACACACAGTATGCAATTTAATTATTAGAACTATAGAGTGTGTTTCCCCCATTTTCTCTAAATGCAGTTGTATTCTTTAGATGTCTGGTTATTGGCCAGTACTTTAACATACATATGTGGCTGTACAGGTAGACATAACCATTTTATGAGGCAAGAGAAGCCCTTAACAATTTTTTTTTCAATTACCAAAAGAATCTCAGTTACAGAAGTTGTAGTTCTTTGTGGTTAGGTTGATTACTTAAGACCTTGACAAACTTAATGATGTAATAAAACTGTGTTTCAAAGGTTACTTGAATGTTGCAAAATTAAGCTTTCATCAGATTATAACTTTCAAAGGAAAAGTTGTTATAAAAAAATGTAGAACATTTTATATTTGAAATTTGTTATTTTCAAGATACATTTTCACTATTGCGCCTAATGAAAGAAAAATCTCTGTAAAAGAAAAACCCTCATTTTTCTTACACTAAGATATAGACCAATAAATTGCTTTTTAATTTTTCCAGCACCTGTCCTGTGTACTTGTACACAATGTACATTCTTTTAAATTATAGCATCTGTATAGCTTTAGTATTTGATCACATGAAACACAGGACCTTTAAATTCTAAAATATGAATATACAAATTTACCATGCATATGCTACAAGTTCATCTGATTCTATCTTTGACATGTCAGTAGTATAAAATAAGTAATTCGTTTTATGGTTTCCTTCTAATATTGTCAATAATTATGTTTGCTCTTTTACAAGTTATATATAAATAGTATTGATACTAAGTTTATAAATAAAAAAGGTTTCTAAACTTGGGTTATCAAATAAGTAGAGAAATTTGGGTAGATAATAAATTTTCTGATATCCCCCTTCCTCCACTCCCCTCCCAAGGAGAATTTTATAATTGACTGAATGTCAAGTCAGAATCTATCTAAACAGGAATTATACTGAAATGCACATCACAGCAATGGTCCCAAATTTGGACAAATTGTGTGCATATAATTCTTACTTAGTAATCACTGTATATTAGATAAGGATAAAAATATTTTTATGAATTATTTCTAAGGAAATTAACTTTCAAAGCCTCGTATTTAAATTACAAAAATTAATAGGAGCATTAAATCTTTTCTATTTCACCTCAGAGTCACAGAGCATCCGGCTTTGCAGTCTGATATGTAACATTTTAACAGAGTGTACTTTGAAAATGTCTGAAAGTTCAAGGATAAGAAAATACATTAAAAACAGAATAAGGAAAGAGAGCCTCACTTTTCCTTTTAGTGCCCATTCCTGTTTTCTAGGACTTCACTTCTAGAGCTTCTAACCTTCATCTGAGGAATCCTAGGCAGTATCCAGCTGCTGGTGTTTCAGATGACCTCTGGGATCTCTGGTTGTGCAGCCAGTTCTTTACGATACTCTTACCTTCTGTAGCTTGAGTCATGAGTTGTTAATGTGGCAGTAATTGTCCACTTAAATTTAATGGTTAGAGATGTATTTGAAGTGCATTAAAAATTATCATGGTTCTGAATATCTTAGATATTTAACAGCAGAACTATCATAAAGAAATCTTTAACAGTAGAGGGAGCTTGGTATTTCTGTAGCTTGATTTCTTAAATATACTGGGACCCAATTTGGATTAAATTTGGCAGAGTGATGCAGTACATAGCAAGGCCTTAAAGTAAATTAATAGTTACAAGTAGTTACAAAGTAGGTTGGCTATTACCAAGGTGAATTTAGCTGTGTCAACTAATAGCTTTTATATAGTATGTAATAAATCTGAGTTATATTATGCTATGAATTATTCAATGTATTATGAGAAATTATAGTGTAAACAATGTTAATCATCTTCTTGGGCTTCCTAAGTCAGTGTGATTGTCCTTTGTTTTCTTTCCCTAACTGGTCTGCTGATACTAGTTTCTGGTTTATTGTCATTATTCTGTTAGCTCATTAGCATTAGTTCATTAACTTAAAAGTTAGATTAATTATCAAAGTAAGAATAGCAGTTCTAACTATGAGTTCATTAAATGCAATTTCACATTAGAACTAAAGGTAATTGAGTAGTTATTTGCAGTGTTTTATTATAACACTTATATGTATACAATTCTTTTAAGGTTTTTAAAAATTACCTTTGGTACAGCCCTTAGAAATTAAGAAATTTCCATGGATTTACTACATTTCAGTGTTTTTCCTAATTTATAATGGTCTTCACTGTAGATTTTAATAAATTTTTTCTTTCCAAAATATACAGATTTAATTTGGAGTATGTACTTTGATTCTTCATGAGTGCTTTTAAAAAAAAAATCACAGTCTGGACAACTTAAGTTTGTGATGTGGTAAGCAGTATTTTAAAAATATAAATTTATACATGTAAAGTGTGGTTACAGTAAACCAAATTATATTTAAGACTCAATTTACTGCCCATTTTGAATAATAAGACATTCCCATATCACTCATATTGTCAAATAACTTTTCTGTCTGACAGCACTTTTCACCATGGACAGGAGCTGGAAAAATGATTTATTTTTATAAAACTGTATGTTCAGAATGGCTTCAGACCTGCATAGTATAATGGAAAGAGCACTGATTAGTAGTTTACCCTTTTGGGATTCAGAGCTCCTCACAAATACAGTGAGGGGACAAAACAAGGGGAAACTCTAACAACATTCCTTTGGATGCTGTTCTGGGCTCACAGGGTGCTTTGACATTACTTTATTCCACCTGATTCTCATGGTAGAACTTGAGGGATATTAATCTGAGAGCACCAACATTGTCTCTTCTGTGCTCCTGGGCTGCTCCTCTTGTTTTACAGAGGGTCACTGGTTTGCTGGTTGGTGGCAGAGCTGACACCAGACCCCTTCCTTGTCTGACTACTAGTCAGAGGCATTTTACTTGTATCATGAAATGATTTTAAATCATTGTAAAACAGCAAAATCTGATGACTGCCAGCTTTCCTTGTTTTGGTAACAAAAGACTCCAAATATTCTGGAGAAACTGGGTATAATTATGTTGAAGGAATAGATTAGGATCTGAAGGCATTAAATTGTAGAAAATTGTACACTTTTGTGATAACATTAAAGAAAGCAAAAACAGTGTAAAGGTAATTTAATTTACCATATATGTATCAGTTTCTTGAAGCTTCCAAATGAAAGATAATTAAAAGGAGCTTGGATTCAGTTTTGCTAAATATCAGCATCTAAATATGGTTTTGTGGACATACTTTTCTGTTTACATAGATTTATCCACTTAAAATAATGAGGGGAGGTAAGCAAGGTTTGATTAAATAACCTTTTCTCTGCAGTGATCTTTTTACTGTCTTATGTTCTTGATTATCTTAATTTTCCTCAACATTCCACTGCACCTTCGGTTTTCATTTTAAACAGGGAAGGCTTGCTACATTATAAAGATTGTTGGCACCATTTATTTCACACAAAGGCTAAAGGTTAACTTTTGGAAATGATGAACTCCTTCACGTGTTTACCTGTGCTTTGTGGTATTTCTGGATCATTCCAGTCATAAACTTATTACATGTAATATTTCTTGCTACCTGTGAAAATATATTTTAAAGAATGTATAACCCACACTCCATTTACTTTATATTAGTAAGTAGAAGACCTGTATCTAACTCATGAATGTAGTTTACTGTAGTTTGTCATTGTAAATGGAACAAAATACATTATAGTTATTCTAAAATGTATATTATGTAAGAATTGTAAATATTACACTTGATTAAATACTTTGTATTCGAAAAATTATGATAAGTCAATAAAAATCATCTCTGAGATAGCTCTTTTATGCTCAGACTTCCACTTTATTAAATGAACTACAGCTGCAGTCATACCTGTTAACAATCGTCATGTTTAAGGTCATATATGCCTTTCCAACTTCCCCAAAACAATCTAGACTGGTCCTAATGGCTGGTTGCTTCAATCGAGAAATCCACTTTGATCTTTTAAATATTTTCTTTTGCCTAATCACAGAGCTGTATGTCTCTCAATTCATCAGCTAAAAACCAGAAAGGCTTTTTTTGGCCCTAGCTCTAGTTATTTTCTGTTATGATAGACATCTGTTACAGATCCTAATCTAGGCAACACACACCTGATCCTTTTAGTTAACAAAACAAAAAAACATGTTTTTATATTAATTGAGATTGAAGGAGTGGAGAGTTGAAAGAATAGGTCTGCCTAAGAAGTACATCACTTGCTTTTTCTTTTCCTTTAAAAGTTAATTGAAAGCAGACACACAAACTTTTTAATGTAACCTGCTTTATTCCACTTCATTTCACTTTCAGAATAGTTTTGTTAAAAAGAGGACCACAGATAGTAAATGTTTTAAATGAAAATAGTCTACTTTTTCTTCATGGCAAACAATGCTTTTTCTTTATAAAAAATCTTTAAATAATAGTAAGTAAAAAATAATCCATAATTCTGTCATCTGCTGTCAGTATGGTATCCACTAGCCACATGCTATTGAAATTTAAAGTAAGAAAAAATGAAGAGTTAGGTTCATCTGTCACACTCCCATTCTTTAAGAGCTCACTAGACATATACCTAGTGATTATTTTGAACAGGACTGATTATAGAACATGTCCATCATCACAGGAAATTCTCTTGGGTGGTACTGAGAGGGATGCTTACTTCCTCAGTATATACTCTTCTAGAACTTTGGGTGTGTGTGTTTATATACAATGGGATCATAGTGTTATCTGCTGCTTTCACTTAATGGGAACATACCTCTAAGTCCTTACATGTTCTACATCATTTCTGGGAGAAGTCTTAAAAATATTTTTATTATGGAAAATTTCAAACACAGAAGTAGAATAACTTCAGTAGCTATTAGCTCATGGATAATATTTGATGTATACTTCCAGGCATTTTAATAACATCATTCAGTATGTATCTTTAAAAGAAGGACTCTTAAAAAAACCCAATCATAATATCACTTCATTAAAATATAAAACTATGTAGTCAGTATTCAGATTTTCCCAATTGTATCAAATGTGTTTTTTAAAAATAGATTCTTCAAATCAGGCTTCATATATGTTCCATTCATTGCAGTTGGCTACTTTTGAGTCCCTAAATCTATAGGTTCTTCATTTAAAAAATTTTCTGCTTACAGTGTGTCTTGAATACAACATCTTTGATGACAGCATCAATATTTTAGTTCAACCACTATTGAACATTTCATTCCAATTTCTTGCTATCATAAACCTAGCTTTACTTACCCACATGGCTAAATATTTGAGTATATTCTTAATTATTTCCTCAGAATGAGTTCCTAGAAGTGAAAATACAGATTCATGATGGGTGGGTTTATTTTTGAGGCTTATTCAATGAGTTGGGCACTGTGTTAAGGGATATTACAGTAAAAAGTAGACATATTTCCTGTTATTGGAATCTTAACCTTGCAACGGAGAAAAATGGGACTTGGTGCTTATAACTGGTTATGGAATTTTTGAGGATGGTGCCTCACCCAGACACTGGATGGGTTTGTGTTTAGAGAACACTGGTTGAAGCATTAATATATAAGGCAAAGTCTGAAGCACAAAGGATGGTTGGCTAAGTGAAGGTCTAGGGCTTTGCTTTTCAAAATTTGGTCTGTGAAAGAATCACCATTGAGACCCAGGCTCTTTGAAGAAGAATAGGGCCTGACCCTTTGTTTCTACCAAGCTCCCCAAGTACTTCCAATGCCAAACGAAGTTTGAGAACCGTGCTCTCAGGGAGAAGCATTCATTTAGCTGGGAGAAAGAACTGGAAGTTCTCTTAGAGGCTAAAAAGATTTTAGTATTGCCAAAGTGCCCTCCAGAAAAGGTGTACCAATATACACACTAATCTGCTGTAGAGGAAATTTTCTATCCTTGACAGTATTGGATAGTAGTAGTACAAAAACAGTCCCCATGATAATCTATCCAACATAACAGATGTAGAAGTTACTCAACAGGAAAAACCAATTACCTCTAAGCTCTGGTCAGAAATCAAAGAACTTGACCAAAGTTAGTTAGCACTGAAGGATTATTATGTTCACCAAAGTTCTTTGTCTAGTTAGCCATGTTATTACACACCCAGATATACCTATTTTAAGTTGAGAAAATAGCACGTATCACCACCTGAGACTACATACTTTTTCTTGTTTTCTGCTGCTGGAATGTAAGCTCTATGAGGGCCGGGATTTTTGTTTTTTTTTTTTCAGTTCTGTATCCCCAGATGCTACAGTGTTTGGCATGTAGTATAGTCACTTGGTGTCTATTGAATAAATGACTAGCTACCTTCAGCTATTTTAGCTTCCAGTCAGCAATATATTTCAGGAAGCTGCAACATTAGTTTTCTTCATAGCCAAAGAGTTGAGTGAGAATGAAGAAACTACTGCTTAGCGATAAGACTAGTCTTCTGAATATTTTCCTCTGTGTGTCTACCGACTTTGTAGGTAAAATTTAAATTGTCATATTATTCATTTCTTACCCATAAGTTCTAGGAGTAGTAATATTGGAAAGGTCTGAAAAATAAAATATTTCTTGATTAAATTCTAGAATAAGTGGTAGAGGAAAAAAACCCACCTTATTGATGGTGTAGGTAGAGGAACTAAAAGGTGCAATTACAGAATTATTTCTCCATTATTAACGAACTAGTTAGAATGTAATAATACATCTGTAACACTGCTGTGGGAATTCTGTATAATGTGTAATAAAGTCTTAATGGAGATTTGTAAATCTTGGAAAGCTGTGGTTGCTAAATTACATTTTGGTACTTGTTGAATACTTGTTTGGTACTTGTTGGTACTTAGACTTTTTTTTTACAGTTTGGTGTTTCTGGCATAGTTTACACTGTTAACTATCTATTATCTCATAACTGTGAGGCATTAAGTACTTGGATTAGCCCCATTTTACCTATGGGTATAACTGCAACTCAGACGTTTTAAATAACTTGACTGAAGTCTTAACAACTTGTGGTAGAGCTGGACTATTAGCCTGAAGTCCAACTCTCTTCACTTGGGGAGCTTGCACTCTTAACCACAGTGTCATCTGCTCAAGGTTGTGGTAAAACACACAACTCAGAGCTTAGGTTGCTGCTTTCAGGGCTAATCTTGACTAAAAGCTTGGGCTTTAGGAGCACTTAGACTTGGCTTCGGATCCTCCTGGCTCCATTACTTACTGGCCAACTAGATTTGGGCAATTTACTTCTCTATATCTCAATTTCCTCAATTATAAAGTGCAAATAGTATCTCTACCTCATAGAATTTTGAGCATTAAATAAACAAGTAAGAACCTGTTACTCAAATGAGTTAATTCTGCTTATTGTTTTTTTTCAAGGTGGACAGTATGAACTAAATTTCTTGCTAAACCTGATTCACAGGTCCTGAGTTTTTCAGAAAAATGTTGCTCCATTTGAAAATAACAAGTGAACAGTGAGATGAATTGTGATTCTGGGAATCACACTTTGAGAAATAATGGCGTGGCAGACCATTTGTGCACGTTTACTTAAACACTATGGTATATCATCAGTCCTTGGAAGATTGGAAGCTAATGAGCTTTTTATGTAGTTGGTAGTGTCCAACTATCTAGGGTCAAAACTGCCAATGTGTGATCTTGGGCAGGCTACCTCAGTGTGCCAAAGTTAGGAATTTGAAAAACTCCTTGGTACAGATTAAGGCTCTTTTAAGGTGCTAAAAGTTTGTTAAAAAAAAAAATTAGTATCACAATCTCTGGCGTTACCCTACCCCCCTGGGGCTCTGAACTATCCTTGTTTGGGGTAGCGGGGTCCCCCTGCTGGACACATCCTTTAGCTTGCCTCTCGTTGGCCACAGAAGTGCTAAGTGAGGTGGGCAGGCGATTTCCCCACCAGGTGTCATTCCTACTTTATCGTGAATGGGGAAGGAACTTGCTAGTTTAAATTCCTTAGACTCAGCTGGCCTCCCAGATGTTAACGAAGACTGAGAGAGGGCTTAAAGCGTCCAAGAAATTAGGATAAAAATGGTACAGAGATAAAAATTTTCCCTCTTTGTGCGTCCAGCTGAGTCTTTTTCTGACCGAAGGCCCTGAGTGGGGCAGCTCAATTCCTTTCAAGGCCCAGCTTCGGTTTCTAACATCTGGGGATTGAGTACTGAAGCAGGCCGGTGTTCATAGACCGTGCAGCGCTCGGGCCTTCCCTAATCTTGAGTCCTCACCGGCTACTCAGTCCACCGAACGTTGGTTACCAGCCTTAATCTAAATCCTCTGTATCTAGGACCCAGCGGCTGCCGGGCAGCCCTGGGTCCGCTTCTTCGCTCATCAGGGCCCTCGGATTGGCTCTGGGAGACGAGGCTCCGCCCCCGCCATGGCCGCTGCCCGCCGCCGGGACTAAGTGGCTGCCGGGTTACTAGTCTCCTCGGCCCATCCCGCGCTGCTGGGTCCGCCGGCCGGTGGCGCATGGGTCTCCTTCGAGGCTGGCCCCCATGTTCCCGGGCCATGGCGCGACTAGGCGCTGTGCGATCCCACTACTGTGCTTTGCTGCTAGCCGCGGCGCTTGCTGTCTGTGCCTTCTACTACCTCGGCTCGGGCCGGGAGACCTTCTCCAGCGCCACCAAGAGGCTGAAGGAGGCCCGCCTCGGGGCCCCCGCCGCGCCCTCGCCGCCGGCGCCAGAGGTGGCGCGGGGCTCTGTGGCACCGGCCCCGGGCGTCAAGGCCAAGAGCCTGGAAGGCGGCGGGATTGGGCCGGTGGACTACCACCTGCTAATGATGTTCACCAAGGCGGAACACAATGCGGCGCTGCAGGCCAAGGCCCGCGTCGCGCTCCGCTCTCTGCTACGCCTCGCCAAGTTCGAGGCGCACGAGGTGCTTAACATGCACTTCGTGAGCGAGGAGGCCAGCCGCGAGGTGGCCAAGGTCTTGCTGCGGGAGCTGCTGCCGCCTGCCGCCGGTTTCAAGTGCAAGGTGAGTGGGGGCCACAGCTGGGAGCTTCTGGCGAGTGGCCCACTCGTCCCGCGCGGTTAGTGCGCGCGCCAGGCCAGGCTCCAGGAGTCTGGAGGTGGGTGTCTTCGTTGCGCTGCCCACTGCCAACGCTGGAGGCATCGTCTGGGGGCGTGTCCAAGAGCCAGACGCACTTAGCTGGTCTAAGAGTGGAGCCGTGGGGTTAACTCACCACCTTGACCAGGCCTCCCCGCAAAAGGGGCCCTTCTTGAGAACTGAGAATTGGCACACCTCCTCTTTGCTAGTTTTGTAGGATTCAGCAAAGCGTTCAGAGTCTGCACCTCTTTTTTCTTGACTTCTGAGAATGGAGCGGGTCATTTGAAGGCACAAATAGTTACACTGTGCAGAGTGTGCTGGATAAGGCTTTAATGAGGCAGTTTGAATTGTTGAAGTTGAAGTGGTATTTCTTACAGCTCTTAAGGTATTTCAGTTGCAACTACTCAAGCCCAAGCCCAGGCATGTGAGCCATCTCCTTCCCTCTCTGTGTCCCCTTCTCCACTTCCCTCAAAGGTCATGAACCCGTTTAGAGAACTCTCAGGTTCCTCCACGAGAGGAAGAGACAGTTCTGAGGTACAGATATGATCTTGGGAGAGCAGAGCAGAGCTAGCCACTTTGTCCCAGGCTGGACCAGCCTGCCTCTGTGGCAGCTCCCACCTCTTCCTTCACCTCCTGGCTCTGCTTGTCAAAGACTGGGTTCCTGGCTTAGTGTGAATTGCCGCAGTCAAATAGCTTGCCTCATTTTTGACCTCATAGTTGTACAGAGAGGATCCAAGGTCTAATTTTTGGGAGAAGTAGTCTGTGAACTTAAAGGATGGAGATGGATGTTGGTGAGGAGACGACGCAAGAGTAGTGTTCCGTGTGTGTGCCCAGTGAGTGACTAAGGGGAGCTGCTGCTAGGATTCTGGAGGTTCAGGAGTCTGTGGTGGCTCTTTGTTGCCTTGCTTTTCATCCTTCCCCTAGTGGATCTTCGATTTTAGCTGTGTAGATGTGCCTTTACACAGCTGTACTCTACCCAGAGTATTCTTCCTTTCCTCCTGGGCCTTTGGCCACTCTTTCTTTAGCTTCCACCTTTCCTGGGAATGTCCCTAGACTTGGGGACAGTCCATGCCCAGTCCTCCACAGCTCTCTGTTCTTGCTTTCGCTGATAGCATTAGAGGTCTTTCCCCCACCTGGAGCAAATAATTCCGTCAGAAACACACATAGGGAAGGGCACCTGGGCCTAGACTTCAGGCTGTAGGAGGCCAGGAGGCCAGGTCCTGGAGCCTGTGGCTGGAGGGGTCCTTGGGACCCACTGTCTCACCTGGGGTTTTTTTCAGCTTGAGGCCTTTCCCAGTTTACCTAATTGGAATCTCTGGAGGTGGGGGCCCTGGCAACTTGTCCCAGGTGGACCTTAGGACTTTAATGCTTGAGAAATGCTGTGCTAGTTGAGAAACGCTGTGCTAGTCCAGGGAGAAAACCAAGGGTCCTTGGTCGCTGTGCTAGTCCAGGGAGAAAACCAAGGGCCCTTGGTCATAGGGCCAGTCTGGTCAGAGCTGAGATTTGACTGGCTTTCCAAACACCACTCTGCCAGCATTGTCATCTCTTTACTTTCTGCCTTACACCATTGCCAATTCTCTGCTGTCCTGTTATCTCAAGCTCCAGCCACAGCTTCTTTTAGCACACCCAGTGCTTTCCAGCATCCCTCCATGCCTTTGCCTATGTCGTTGCACTGTCAGGATATTCTTTCTCTCACCATCTTCAAGCCTTGCCCATCTTCAAATACCATCCCCTCCTTGGAGCTGTCCAAGGAGCCCCCATTTGAAAGGTGTAGGCGTGTCTTCCCCATACTCCCTTGTGCACCTCCCTGACGCTGATGTAGTAACCCCATCCCTCTGCATAATGCCCAGCACATAGCACCAGAAATAATGGCCTTAGGGCCAGGTTCCTGTCCTGGAGACTGTGTTTCATGCTTCCTCCCTCTGCTAGGCCCAGTTCTGACAGCCATAGGTCACCAAGGTCTGGAGGCAGCCAGCAAAGACCTGAGGGAATTGCCACCACCCCTGTTGGGGCTTGAGGAACGAGCCAGGTGGCGTAGTCAGATAAGGCTTTATCAGTTCCAGTGTAAAACTGCTCCTATTACTTTTGAGTTTGTATTTTGAGAACTGTTTTCTGTTTGTAGTTAAAGGTACCCTTTTTAAAAATGTGTGCTCTTAAAAGGTTTGCCTCGTTTTATTTGTCATTTAATTCTTCCTCAGGTTTGGAATATTTCTGAAAGGAATGCTGCTTCTGGCCCTGCTTTGCATGTGCCATTCCCTCTGCCTGGAGCTTAACTGGAGCTCCATCCTCCCTCCCTCCATCCTTAACTGGAGCTCTGCTTTCAGTTCTCATTGTAGCTATGATTTCCATGATGAACATTTCCCGTTACGACTCTCATGCACCAAGTACTTTTCCTAGTAATATTTATCACAGTTGTAATTACATAATTATGGAATGAACTTTTGTCTACTTTGCTAGACTATAAACTCCTTCAGGGCATGGACCTGGACTTAAATGTTGTATCCCCAGCACTGAACATCATGCCTTACATATGGGAGTGCATTATATACTGAGAATTTTTTTTTTGGTATTAATGAGAAAGAAACTGTAGAAATTTCCATTCTGGTTACATCAGAGCTGGAAGAGATCTTCAAGAACATATAGCACAATAGGTGAGGAAACGTGCCCAAACTGGGGAGTTACTGACTTGGCTAGACCTGTGTCCTAGATGAACATTTTCCCCTTTGTACCCTGTTTCTTCCTTAAGGAGCACTTGGCTTGTGTAAGATAAGGTAATGAGGACAATTCACTTCCAAGGAGAGTTGCTTTGAAGTGTGTTAGAATGCTGTGGGAAGGGGAAGGCAGCCAGGGTGCACTCAGCTGTCTGGAGACAGCCTGGGGGCTCCTCCCCCACCAGGGTTGGCTCCTGGCCTTCCCCATCTGCAGGATGCAGAGCAGAAGGCAGTGAGCAGGCATGGAACACCTCTCACACACCTCTCTTCTAAGTCCATTTTCAAGTGGCAGAGAAATACCCTGTGGTATTGCAGAAATAGATCATAAGAAATTAAGAGTGACCTTAGAGTATATTTTGATTAATTAAATATTAGCTAAAAAACCATTCACTTAACTAGAAAAATCTTATTTTGATTATTATTGAAAGTCTTTCAAGATCTACTGGTTTGTTGTCTCCTAAGAGTATAGAAGCATATTATACGTTCACTTACTTAAACATCCATATCTGCTATATTCCAGGTACCAGGTTAGGAGCTGCTTCTAGCCTAAATGGACTGTGTCAGAATCAGCTGGGATGCTTACTAAAAATACAGAATCCTGGGCCCTCCCCCAGCCTATAGGTCAGAATCTCCTGGGTGGGGCCTGGAAATCTGACTTTGTGTGGAGCATGGAGCAGCAGAGGCAGGTGTGGGGATCACTATGGTAAGGGATACAGGGGCACCTGGTCCTCTCCTGATATGCAGGCCCAGTTCAGGCAGCCTTCCTTGGGAGCACTATGCATGGCACACAGGAATTCAGGCATTCAGGAAACATTTGACTGAACAGCTCTCTTTCATCCAGGCTATCCTGGCTTTGCTGGCCTGGAAAGGCTGCTACATTCAGCTTCCTAAAATGCTGCCTTTATCATATCCATTCCACACGAAACCTCCTGGCTCCTGGCTAACTGTTGTCCTTGGTCATTCCAACATTCTAGACCCACAGCAGCTGGCTTCAGCTTCCTTGTCTAGCTTTTCTCTCTAAGCTCTCCCTTGTCATGGAGCTTTTCTTGCTCTGCTTTTGAGCCATCTGTTGTCTCATTCTGTCTCTTAAGGGGAATCTTACACTTCTAAAACTTAGATCAAGACTTGTCTCTTCCATAAGCCTTGTTGCTGTATCAGATTTGATGGAATGCCAGATTTGGTGGAGCTTTATTTCTCATTTAAACAAAGTCCAGATGTGGACAGCATTCCAGTGGCATAGGAGCTTGGTGATGTCATCAGGTCCTGGGCCCCTTCCGGCAGTCTGTTTCACTATCCCTAGCAAGTGGCGTTTGTCCTCATAGCCCAGGCTGGCTGCTAGTGCTTCAGCCATCACATCTGTGTTGTAGCAGTAGGATGGAGGATGAAACAAAGTAGAGTACCTAGTTAGAAACCGAGGTTCAGTGCATAAGGAAGGAGAGGGGATCAGGTTTTGGGGTAGGCAACCAGCCATCTCTGCCTCACCCACCTGCATTGTGAAGCCCTGAGAATGACCAGGCACATCCTGTGTGTGGGACCCTGAATTCATAGCTTCAAGGGACACAGACGGGTCGGGCATAGCCTCTGCCATCAGGAACCCCTGCTGCTTAGCATCATGTGCACAGACATCTCCCCTGCAGTGGAACTAGTGGGCATGAGGTGGTTCTGAGGGAGTGAGGCAGTGCTGAGTTTAAAGCCCAGGTGGCCAGCCAGTTTCTAGCTGGGTGGCTGTGAGTGCTTCCCTTGCCTCTTGAGGCCAGCGAGGCCTCCTCTGCAGTGAGTATTGAGCACCTACCGCACACACAGCAGTGAGGATTAAATGCTGCCAAATGTTCAGCCCACGGCCGCTGTGTCGGTTGTTGTGGGTCCAGCCTAACAACATGGTTCTGCTCTGCTGACTCCTGGGAAATTGAGGCAGGAGCGGGCCTCAGAGCCTCTGGCCTGCCTTAGCACCGAGGGCCCACGGCAGTGCCTCCTTTCTAGAGTGGCCAGCCCCCAGTGGAGGCCTGGAGGTATTGCTTTCTTGTGGTCCTCTGTATAATCGCCTTGTTAGCTCTGTGATGCTAACCGTTCACAGACCTTCCTAAATGCTTTTGTAAAGCAGCTCCCACCTGATCCCTTGTTATCTTGCTGATCACCATGTTTGTAGCACACATTCCTTCATTCATTCATTCATTCAGCAGATGTTACTGTGCAGGTTACCCTGTGCCAGGCCCTGTC